CGTAGCTTTTCTTTTTAAACTGGACTTCACTTTTTCAGCTTCGCAGTCGTTGAAATTCGGGGGATGCGTGTGCTTCTTCTCTTTCAAGAGAACAAGCTGTTCTCCGGGGCCTGGGTTATTCGTTGTCGCTCTTGAGGTACACGTCTTGTCATTACGCAATTTTATGCACTCCCAGTGACGTTTTTCCCCAATAATTTTTGAATGGTAAAATTGATACCCGCGAACAATTAATTTATTATTTACGACTTGAAGCTCCATTGCTAGGCTAAATAGGTGAACGTAGATGAGAGACTAACGAAGTGTCTCTTTGTCGGCCTTCGCAGCAGCTAGCGATAGTCAAACCATAATATTATTGCTTCGGCGATATTTGAATTATTATGTTTGAAATTTTATACAATCGGAAAATAGGTAGTCGGAAAAACGGAATCGGAATAATGTAAAATCGGAAATTTGACATAATCGGAAAAATGGCCGTCGGAATAACGGGATCGGAGAAACGGGCGGCTACCGCAGTAATGTGCTTTACAATAAAATTATTTTCTGTACTAGAGAAAAATGTTTGTTTAGGAGGATTTTTCTGTTAAGGCAGTTCATCAAATGGCAACTCAAAACCCTGTACCCACTGAAGTACGATAGCATCTGAGGTTAAACGCCCTCAATTATTAAAAAAATGTTTGAGGTGACTTGCCAATCGACTTACATCGTCTAGAACTTGTTCCTCCGCTGGTTCCGTACCTTGTTGTTGTAGCTCTGCTGATATGAATGCTGTTGTTTCGGATACTGCTGTCGATTCGATTGCCCGCCCTGGGATTTCGTGTCTTGGTACTTCCGAATCCTCGACGAAATTCGAAGCGGGTGATTCGAGTTTTTTGAACTCTCTTTATCGTAACTTTTTGGAGCTTCTTTTATTAGCTGCTTAGCAGCAGCTGAGCGAGATTTTGCAGCTCTCAATATTTCCTCCAAATCGTTGCCACTGCTGCGTACTTTCTTTTCCCCATCTTGCTAAAACTTTCCTGATTTGTCTCCGTGAACGTGTGGACTTTAGCGACACAAAAAGGTGAATGTAGATTCAGCCACCGCCCCGCACGCCACAGCAGGCCGCTGAGCAAAGAAAAAATAAAGTAATCACTTTGATCGTATGTGGTGACATCGACACGCAAAGCGTGTTACTCCTGTGATCTCGAGGAAGAGGCTCGTAGTATAATTAATATAATAGTTAATATAATAGTTAACAATTTAATATGTCAGGATGAACATTTCCATTCTCAAATACTTCAAAGTGTCTAAATTGATTATCAATTTGATTATCAAATTTATAATTTAAATTAGGTTCTACGTAAGCTTGAGAGGCTTCTAATTTAGTTTTTTTTACATTACTAATATCACATAATGGCTTTTTTTCTCCTGATTCTCTCCTGTGACTGCTTTTTTCTTCACCGCTCTCTGTTTCAGTTCACTAAGGTGAAACTGATAATTAAAATCTGTAATAATTCTAGGTTTGCCTCTTTTTGCAATATTTCCTTGCTAATACTAGATAATACTGGAGGCATATTATTATTAGGAGCAAGTATTACGTTCTCTGAAGGCGTGTCAAGCTTTCGAGCACTACCACTTTTTTTTGTCAAGTATTGACTCTGTAAATAAAAAAGGTGTTTGATTAAATTTAATGTGATAAAGCTGGATTAAAATCCTTACTTTTATTAAAATACTTACAGTTTCATCAATGAGGTTTTTCATAGAATCATGCATCCTTTTCAATGTTGATGCTGGTATTGTAACCGTTTCTTCTTCTAGATTGCTACTATTTTCACAAAATGTGGAAGGAGCCTCGCAAGAATTATCATTAAGATTTTGTGTGCTGGAGATTATATCTTTTAATACATGTTCATATTGCACAATCTTTTCATCCAAAACATTCAAAAAACATTTAATGAAAAACAATGAATGCAAATGAATGCAAAATACTTGAATAACTATCAAACTATTAAACTTACTTTTATCAATGGATTCTAATGGAGCATTTCTTGATTTGGCATAATCTTGTTCGGTAAAAACTTTTTTGTCAAGTGGAGAAATGCCACATTTTTTAAAAGAATTTAAAGCAGTTTCTGCTTTTGCAAATGCAGTGCTCACCAAGTCAAAAAATGCTTTAGTTTGACAGTTTCTCTCTTCTGTAAGTTGTAAATTGCTTTTGTGTAATACATGCTTAACGGCCTCATGAATCCAACATCCAAGGGTTGCAGTCTGTGAGTAGTGTGCGATGGAAAGCACACAATAGTAACTCCATGAGCTGCTGCTAACTCGATGACTAAAAAGTTTTTTACATAGGTGGCATGTCCATCAAGCAACAGCAGGACTGGATTGTTAAGTGAAGCTTTGGAAAACTGAATAAACTTCTTAAACCATCTTGTGAAAATATCCTCTTGCACCCATCCTGATTTATGGAACTCTGCCCAAGACCTTGGATACTTATTTTTCAATAATTCTGGATTCACATTGGCACGAGGAAAGACAAGCATAGGTGGCATAAATGAGCCAGCGGCAGACATGCAGATTTCTGCTGTCTCAGTCTCGCCACGCTCTGCAGATGTTCACTTTCCCACTTGTTTTTTACCTTTTTTAGCTATAACTCTACAAGTCACGATTGATCCCAAGGACGTACACATGACTACTTTTTCAACGTCATTACAGTACAAATTTATGCCCTTAGGCCTCAAGGAAAGTCCTAGGGCATTTCAAGCCCTGAACAAGTTATTGAACGGAGTGTAGTGCATCTCGCTGTTGACAGATTCAATATTTCCCCTAGGACTAGAGTCAGGCTAACTCATTAACGCCGAAAGTGACGAAATTTTTGTTTCGTGATCGACGCGATTTCTTCCATGATTTGGACCTTGAAAAGGCTTTGCATATATGTAGGGGGACCCAGCTGTACCCTTTCTTAGGAAGTGGAGAGAGCGCCTCCCGCCGTGGCCCGAGACTCAGGAGGTGAGATAATTAGTGGGACTGTGAGAGAGCAAACAGCTCAGATACCAATAAAGTTAACCTAAATTATATATTCTGCCTCTCTTAATTTTTAACTCCTTCCTCGAGCAATTGGGAAACCCAAGTAGTGAAACTTCCCAAATATACATAATTTTATGTAAAATTCCATGAACTTTCAGAATCCGGGCTCTGATATGAGATTTAATGCTTCGTTAAAAAGTTATGATTTTTGAAACAAAAAAAATGTAAACGTTTGTGCGAAAAAGTCGACTTTAGAATTTTTTTTGAACTGTTGTGTCAAAAAACTCAAGATATAAACATGATCAGAGATGATCAGGGATGTATAAGTATCTTAGTGAGTTTTCACAGATTTTTCCCATCACTTTTTCTAACGAAATGGCGGCCACGAAATAAAATGTTTATAACGAACCCAGACTCAATTTTCATCTCGAAAACTGTTGAGATTATAAAAAAAGTTTATGGAACAAAAAATTCTTAGAATTGATCAAGGAACACTCTTAAATTTTTCAGAATTTTTGGAGAGCAAATTTTCGATTTTCGGAAAATTCATTAAGGGGACCGACCTGTGTTAAAAGCTTGAATTCAGCTTCAGCTAAAAATAGCTATATGAATCGAAATAGTGGAAATTTTTTTTTTGTGATAGTAAAATATGTTCATTCTACACCAGATTGACCAAAAACAACTTCTACCCAAGCTCTGAAATACCAATTACATCACTTTTTTCATAAGACGAAATATTGTGTTATAAATCACTTGCCGCATGATCTTGAAAAGAGTTTTTTATCAATATTGATCTATGGGGTCTCAAAATCTTCAGAAAAGTACTCTCGTCCACCTAAGCGGAGCAGAATTTTGAAAAATTGCGTACAACTTTATATACACGTCAAAATGTGCCAATTTTTAAGAAAATTAGTATTTTATCAACACTAGAAGCCATATTAAAGCTCTTGGAAGAAAAACAAACTTTTTTTTTCAAATTCTGCTCCGCTTAAGTGGATGAGGGTACTTTTCTGAAGATTTTGAGACCCCATAGATCAATATTGATGAAAAGCTCACGTCAGAATCGCGTGGCAAGTGAATCCTATTATAATATTTAGTATTATGAAAAAATAAGCGTAATTGGCATTTCAGAGCTTGGATAGAAGTTTTTTTTGGTCGATCAGGTGTCTAATAAACATATTTTACGATCACAAAAAAAAAATTTCCACTATTTCGATTTATGTAGCTATTTTTTGAATTTAAGCTTTTAACACAGGTCGGTCCCCTTAAGTACAATTTCCCAAAATAATCTCAAAAAATTCTAAAAAAATTTGAGGACATTCCTGGATCAATTCTAAAACTTTTTTGTTCCGAAAAATTTTTTTTTAAGCTGAATGGTTTTCGAGTAAATAATTATACATTCTCACCTGTACATGCATTTTTTTGCATGATCATATGCATGAACAGTTTACTGTATGTCCACCATTTTGTTAGAAAAAGTGGTTGGAAAAATCTGTGAAAACTCCCTAAAGTCACCTTGATCCCTGATCACCTCAAATCATATTTAAATCTTGAGTTTTTTGACACAGTAGTTCGAAAAAAATTCTCAAAGTCAATTTTTTGCACAAATTTTTACGTTTTTTTTAATTTATACAATCATAACTTTTTAACAAAGCATTAAATCTTAAATTTGAGCCCAGGGCCTGAAACGGCATTAAATTGGACATAAAATTATGTATATGCAAAGTCTTTTCAAGGTCTAAATTATAGAAAAAAATCGCAAAGAAAAGTAGCACAGTAGTTGAGCTGAATTACACATCCAGGGTAGACTGCCCGTTACAACGCAAATATGCTCGTATTTATGAATGTATACGAATATGTGCTTTAATCCACGACAATCTCACGAACTCAATAAAATCCCTTTTTTGAAAACTGTATTCACCATTAATTTTATTATTTACCATTAATTTACAATTTAAACTTTTTTAAATAGCTTTTATTAAAACTATTATTTTCAGCTGTTGGTGCCGCTCATAAATTGAAAATCGCTAACACTAACACATGTGTAGCATGCTATTTCGGCGAAGGTGCAGCTAGCGAAGGAGATGCCCATGCTGCATTTAATTTTGCAGCAACATTATCATACCCTGTGGTTTTTATATGGTAAGCTTACAAAAATGATATTTTATTACAAATTAATTATTATTCTATTACACCTATGAATTTTTTTGCGTAGAACTTAAAATTAACGAATATAAAAAATTTTAAGTCAAAATTGCGTTTTATTGCGAATTTGTTAGCATAAAATATATAGCAAAACGCGTCTCTAGCTAAACTCGTGTGTGTGTTTGTAAATGTGTTTTCCTTTCATAATTCATCAATTAGAATTCCAAACATTATTTTGCTCAAAAATAACCTTTACTAACGAATAAAATTATTCTTCCATTACAGCCGAAATAATGCTTATGCCATTTCTACTCCGAGTTGTCAACAATATGCTGGAAATGGTATAGCTGCTAGAGGCCCAGCATTTGGCATCAAAACAATTCGAGTTGATGGTAATGATATTTTATCAATGTATCAAGCGACGAAATTTGCTAGAAAATATGCGACAGAGAACTGCAAGCCTGTTTTGATAGAAGCTATGACTTATCGGTAATTGAACGTAATTCTTACTAAAATTATCAAAATTTTGTTAAAATATTATGTTCACACTCTGTTTTACTGAACTATAATACCATTCTTTTTCTAACAATTTTTTAATGATTTTTGAAACAAAATCGAATGAAAAGCTTCTAAATTTTTTACTTGACAAAAATGTGTTCTTTCAAAATATTTCATTGATCTGAGTTGCTTTTAATCTTTCGAAAAATGTGTTGACTTTTTCAAAATTATTTCGATGATTTTACTACACGACTTTATGAGGCCCAGTATATGGTCTAATAATTGCTGAGTGATCTGCTCGCGTGAAAACGTGAGTACATGAATTGAAAGAGGCACATTGGTGGACTTAAGATTAACTGGCAAAAGCTTCAAGTCAATCACATGCTTGAGGAAAGTATTCCGAAAAATACCAATATCCATTTCTCTATCGTTGTACTCTTAAAAGATGCCAGGAATTCTCAATGTCTTCCCAACACAATTTCTGATGGGTTAACGTCTGTGCCAAGGAAAATGCGAGTTCTCAGCCAGAGCAGTATCATAGGTAAAGCCTGCAGCCAGTTTTCAGATTCTCCTCTACACATAAGTGCGGCGATGATATCTCGATGTCACCTCTTGATCAGACCATCATCTGTAGTGATTAAAAGTCTTGCCCCCAGAGTCTCAGTAAATTCAGTGAAAAGGCGAAACTCGAACTGTTGACTCTGGCCTGAAGTAATAGTTGTGACGCCGTAGCGTCTGATGAGTCGTTGTAGATTCGCAAACATGCGTCGTTCGGATATGTTATTGTAGGAATAATATATCTGATCGAATGGTTTGTTATGTTTCATGTTTGACCTATGTGTGTAACGAGGAGAGACGAAGGTGATGATATCTCGCTTACTCTTTATGGACCGATGGGGAGAGAGAGATCGGATGAGGAGAAGAACTAAGCAGACGACTTACTTGTTACTTGGTCGCTGAAAAAGACGGTTGAACCCGAGTGTACGCGAGTTTTCCTTTTGAGAGTAGAATATCGAGTATTTCTTTATTAAAACAATATTGTGGCGGTGAACTATTTTAGTGGTGATACTAGTGAGCACTCGACTGGCAGAGGTTAGTTTAAAGTAGCTATTATTTACGGAGTGTCCTCACTGTATTAATCATCGTTACGCTGACGTAGTCAGTTATTGCAGTCCAGGAGAAACAAGTTTTCAGCCATTTAAGACTTTATTACTTTTCTAGTGAAAGTATTGGTGTTCGGTAATGTGGTCACAGACGTAGCTGTCCTGCGAGACAGTTGGAGTGCCAGGTTGGCTGACTGGCACAACGAAATTGTAGTGTGAATGTGTGTGTGAGTGTGAATAAATCGTTAGATTTATTATTTATATTTAAATGCTCGTGTCGTTATTTCGTGCGCCTATCCCGTTCTCTCCTACAGGTAGCCGAGACCCCGGATAATCCACCATTAGATGAAGCATACGTGGTCCCATGCCCGGGTCTGGCCGTGGTGTGACATAGTGGAAGGTATATCGAAAAAGGAGACCCAATGTCTAAACAGAGCAAAGGCAACTGATGCCGCTAAGATGTCTATCAGAGGGATTGCTTCAGGCCAATACGAAAAATGATCAATCACCGTTAGAAGATGCGAATACCCGTCGACTTCGGGTAACGGACCTACAAGGTCCAAGTGGATGTTAAGAAATTTATCGTCATGGGGGATATTAACGCTGCGATTCGATACCTCTTCATGAGGCAGACTCTCACTGCAGGTCGCCATGTCGAGATATCGATCAAATAGTTTGATAATAAATTATATACGTGCCTGAAAATGGGTGAGTTAAAGAGATTTCAACTTGTGTGTAAAGAGCACAAGTGAAAAGTCTAAAGAGTCAATTCCTCTCACCGTGAACACTGCAGACGCTCTCACCAGCAAGGGAAAGTTAAACAATAAGTCACAAATAGACAAGGGGCAATACAAAAATATAAAAAGCACTCTAAAGCATTAATTTAATAGCTGATTTACCAACGTATGCAAGATTTTTTGAAACACAAAAATGCCTGTGCTACTACAAAAATGCCCGTGAATTGTTTGAGACACAAAAAATGTCTGTGCCACCACAAAAATGCCTGCGGATTTTTTAACTACGTACTAAAATCAGAAGATCATTTGTCAGTAGCTGCGTAAGGTGGTAGTCTACCTCTCCGTGTCTCCTGTCTATCCACAATCTGATGTTCGGAATCAGCCTGTACGTCCATCGTCCTTTTGGCGAGCGATTCCACCGGCTATGCCATCTTCTCAGTGTCTCCTGGCGTTCTTCGGCTCTCGCGTCCTCGTGGTGGCGCTGGTAGAGCCGGCTACGCTCGTCTGCTAGTAAGGCCAGCGGTGGTATGCTGGCGACGACGTAAGTAGCCTCGTACGAGAGGTGCGGGCGACCACTGATGAGGCGTAGGCAGGCTCGCCGATGGATCGCTTCCGCCCGACGCATGCCGACCAGTGTTCCGGTACCGCGACTTCAGATGGGGGCACCGTAGAGGAGGATCTAGTCGATGACGTTGGCGTAGAGCCGCCTCCGGCTGCTCCTGGGACCACCGATGATCGGCATGATCTGCGAGAGGGCTCCCGCCACCCTCGAAGCCTTCTCACTGGTCGCTCTGAGGGGGTCGTTGTATGTCAACCTCCCGTCCAGTTGTAGGCCCAGGTAGCGGATGCAAGGAGAGGAGGCAATGAAGCAGTTGCCTACTTCAATGGTGATGGTCTCCAACCTCCTCTTCCTTGATATTAGCAGGGCCTCCGTCTTATGGTCTGCCGTCTCGAGGCCCAGCCCCCACAACGCGTCACGTACCCTTGCGATGGCGCAGCTGAGAAGGTCCTCGACCGTACGTCGTCCCTGCCACGGCGACCACGGGGATGTCATCCGCTAAGCCGACCACGCGCACCCCTTCATCCAGTCTCAGGCGCAAGATGATGACTTTGTTAAAAAACATAAATTTCGGCGTCATAGTCCGAATTTTGCTTTAAAAAATTATTCAAGCTTTCTACGATTTTTAGAATATCACATCGGTAAAAGGGATTTCCATACGACTTTCGTACATATTGAAATGTAGACAGTAGGCAGTTTCAATCAACACAAGAATACTCTCCAAGTTTTAAGAAAATTGACCATGTAGTTCACGAGTTATTTAATTTTAAATTTTTCAAATTAACATGGGCGAGATAGGAAAACTCGGAAAAAGTCACACAGAAAGAAAAATTTTGATACAATTTTATTATAGATGAAACTACATGTATCTTAGACTATAAGTTGTACTGTAACGAAAGATTAGGAAAACCAACCGTGCCATTGATGTGATTAACCGCTGCGTTCACATGGACACGCTCGGACATGCTTGTGTGACACACGGATACGCTGAGTATGCTTATGTGGTACAATCTCCCATGAAATTTTGAGACTGTACCTCGTGCGCGCACAATGTTACTCAAACACAGCATGCGATAAAACTTTGGACTTCAATTTTAGCCGATATAATACCTTAAAATAAATTTTATTAATTGTATTTTATACTTCAAATATCTGCTACCTAGTTATTTTTTATACATTAAAAGAGAAAAACCATTTTTAATTTAATCAATAATTATTTTTTTAGCGTTGGACATCATAGCACTTCTGATGATAGTACGATATACAGAGATGATGCAGAAATCGAAAAATATCAACAATTGGATCCAATCAGGTCGTTAAAAAGTTACTTAAAACAGCATAAACTTTGGGATGAAAGTCAAAATGAACTATTCATTAAAGCTACAAATAAAAAAATAATGGAGGCAATTAAAGTGGCTGAAAATGATAGTCTACCCAGCCAAGATGATATTTTTAACAATGTTTACAGTACAATACCGTTTCACATAAGGTAGGTTTTATTGAATACATTACTCATTTTTATTAAGATGGGTGAATTAAAATTTAATTAAGATTGAAGTACTCAAAATTATTAAGACGGTTAATTAAGTATGGGCTGGTAATGGGCGTTAATTAATATGTGATTTTTTTAAATCATTAACAATCATCAGAGTATCGGCTGAATTACGAGTAATCTCAAATAACTCAGACTACGTAATATATCGTTTTCCTAAAGAAAATATTCAGATCTTCGTATGCGATCACTTGCCAGTCGGCTCTCTCTCTCTCTCTCTCTCTCTCTCTCTCTCTCTCTCTGAGTGAACACGTGTGTCAACTCTGCTCCCCGTTTTAAGCTTTTTTACTGCTGTTGCACTGCCTCCGTGCGTCTTTGATTACAGATCTTGCACGCTAAAAATTGCAAGCATTCTAATTCGGTGCTTGCATTTCATCTATCTGGACGCCGCCACTAAATATCTGCAATCTTAGTGCATCTACATTGGACGTCATTTGCGAGGTTAGCTTATCATCTGTGGTCGACTGCGCCGATTTTTGCATCAAATTCAGAGCGGGCCGCGCAATGTATTTTTGTGTACGCCAGTGGAAGCGCGCCATCTATGTTGTGAAGTGTGTGGTGATCCTGCGAAATAACTGCTTCGACTGTGTCGTCTGCTATTAGGTTTAAAGATACTTATTGCGACAGTCAATTCTTGCTAAAATGACAAGTACTAGAGCTTCACTGCAGAACGAGCTTCCACCACAACTGGCTGCCTTTCTTCAACGTCTTGACACGAAGCTTGACAACCTCTCAAAGCACCTTTTGGCCATCGAAGCGCCTGATAACACCAAAGCATTCGTATTCAAACTATCGTCTCCAAATACTCGAGACCACTGTATTGAAAATGCGTCCAAGCTAGCCTCAGTCAATACTCATACACTTTTCGGTGTGAGTAATGGCAAAATTAGATTACGCCCCTTGTGGCCAAATGAGGTCTACAATCTGCTCAAGAAAGCCTATGATGCAGCTTAAAAGCTGTTTTATGCTCCACCTATGGTGCGGAATCACACGGTTTTCATGCGTGAAACCAATGACACACAACCCATCCCCATATCAACCAAACACGACATCAAGGCGCTGAAAATGAGGACGAGATGACGACATCCACGCAACGTTGAACCATGATATGCTGATTTTTCGCGACCAATACTGCATACTACCAATACTATTGCTACTACTAGAGTTTCTGAAATATTACTACTATACGAAAATAACACCATTTACAGCTACTACTGTTACTAATACTACTACTACTACATTCTCTTATTATGCATATACATTACATAGACACTATGTACTACTATCTCTTACGCCACGTTACTTAATTATAACTTATTATTATTGTTGCTGATATTGTTAATATCAGCAATTTTATACATAAATGTAAATACGACAGTGCCAGATGGGGTTTACCCTGTGGCCGAATAAACTTTTTCAATCAATCAATCAATCTCTCTCTCTCTCTCTCTCTCTCTCTCTCTCTCTCTCTCTCTCTCTCTCTCTTTCTCTCTCTCTCTCTAGCTGCTCCACTCATTGCTGATCCGTTGTTAGAAATCTTCAACAAGTCTATTGCAACTCATACATTCCCGTCATCTTGGCTTAAAACCTGCGTACTGCCCTTATCGAAAAAGAAACTCATCACGAATATTACCGACACTCGACCTATAGCAAAACTATGTGAGGTTTCTAAGGCCTGTGAGAGGCTGGTTCATGAGCAACTGAGTTATCATCTGGAGAGATTTGAGCTGCTGAACACACGCCAGGCTGGCTTTCGAAGAGGACATAGCACCCAGACAGCGTTGTTGGCCCTGATGGATGATGTTCGACAGGCGGTGGACGATCGTCAGATGACTATCTTGGCTCTGTTCGACTTTTCTAAAGCGTTTGACATAGTTCCACATCAACTGCTTCTAATGAAACTTCGCAGATTCAACTTCGGCGACTCAACAATCAAATGGTTTGCCTCATACTGGTACCGGTGCTGCCCGCGGGTCTGGATATCGGTGGCGAAATTGTGCTTCTCGAAGGAAATTAAAACCCTGGGTATCTACTTGTCAGGAAAGTTCAACTGAGACCCACAGATTGCGCTTATGACCTCGAAGATCCACCACTCTCTCTATGCCTTGCATTATTACAAACACGCCCTCTCTCGCAAAATGCGTCTGATGCTGGTAGGCGCTCTGGTGGCACCTCGCCTTGACTACGCAGCGCCACTGTTGACTGACCTGACGAAGGAGCAGTCTCTGGCTCTTCAGCGCCGGCAGAACGCTTGCATCCGGTTCATTTACGGCACGATACCCAGGATGGCTCACGTCACTCCTTATCTCCTATCTCAGAAGGGGCTTTCGAGTCATCGGAGTACTCACCGAGACTGAGGAAATCAGGCAGTCCGTGTGACCGCCGGTGCTTTACTACAAGGCGCTACGCACCGCATCATTAGATCACTCATTTGCATTTTCATCTGCCATTGCAATAAATAAACTTCCTTTCATCACGAACATCCTCTCCCCGCCTCCTCGCTTCAAGTCCCTTCACACCTCCTTCCTTATGCAGCACGAGAAGGCGGAGTGGTTGCAGCGATGCGGGACGGAGGGCCTTGCCCCTGTCCCGCCTGAACTAACTCAAGTTTTGAATTTAAATGTAAACTCGACGTAGACAAAATTGCGTGATGGAACATCGACATGTACTAGTTAAATGTCCCTCTGTACTTACAAATGTCTCTGTTATCACTACTGTTACTACTTATACTGTCTGTTTGAACTGCCGTTGGGCCTCATGTGGTTATACCTCAAGGCCCCAATAAATCTTCTAATCAATCAATCAATCAATCTATCTTATATATATTTGCCCAGAAGTAATGCGACCAAGACGTGCAATTGCCAATAACACTGCGCATATCACTGAGCTGAACGAGCGACTGTCCAGTGAATTTAGGGAGATTCAGCGTCAGCATACTGAAAGCGGAAGCAACTACTGCTCCTGGCGAGGCCACTGCTTCATCACCTTCGCGTCGGCGGTTGCGCGCGGGACGTTTCTCGCTGCTGCCCCGCGTTTCCAGCGGCTGATGGTGTCACAGATTTTCGAGCTGCCAGGAGCAGAAGACGGCCGTTTGAGTATATTGCCAATTATGCCGATTGAGAGCTACAAACGCCTTTGGCACCGGCTTGTAACAAAGTCTACCCTCGCCCGAGTATACTTCACTGTCTACGACGGCTTCATGATGTGCTGCTGACTCTTCAAGTCAAGGACATCAGGATCTATGCTCACATATTTCATTTGGACTTATTAACATAGATAATCTCTCAAGAAATTTTCATCTGCTCGAAGCACATTCAAATAAACATATTTTTAATATAATTGCAGTCACTAAAACTTTTTTACAATCCGATGATGATGTAAACGTGTACAATCTCCCGCACTTCAGCTTTTATTATCACGATCGCACTGGCCGAGAAGGAGGGGGCCTAGGACTCTACCTCTAGGAGGACTTTGTAGTGTCGCAGCTAGTCGCATCAGAATTGGATTATTCAAACACATCCGCCTTCGCCATCTATGCCGTTTCGCAAGGCACGAGCAGATTACTGATAGCTATAGTTTACCGGTGCCCTACTACATCTTACCCCCATGTTTTTCTGGACACTCTATCAGATCTGCTACTTCATTGTGCTCAGCGATTTCAACATCAACGTAGCGAACCCCTCTAACAGACACGCCCTCTCCCTGAAAAAGCGCATTGCCCCATACAATCTGCACTTACTCAGCAGTATACACACACACCACGTTACATACAGTACTGATGGCTCACTCTATTCAACTTGCATTGACCTCACAATAGTGAAGCAGCCTGATCTGGTCAAAGACTTTTCAGTGTCTCCAGCACCCTTTGCTGCCGGGCACCACTTTATAAACTTTAACTACTGTGCACGTTTACCTCGATCGGAGACCTCCACGCGCTACACGCGCAGTATTTCAGAGATTTCACCTTCTACTTTTCCAACTGTAGCCTCTTCACTAAACAATAAAATAGACTTGGAGAGTTTCTCACACATCGACCTGACTTCCACAGACAACTGTGCGGTAATCGATCGACTTATGGCTGAGGTCACGGACGAAATACTCCAGGCCCTTGACGTAGCGGCCCCGCTCAGGCTGACCACGTTGAGAGCTAGGGTGAATCCGTGGGTCACACAGAAGCTACGGAAGCTATGGAAAAATTGTCCAAGTACCTTGCAATATCTTCCTTGAAAGTTGACCAGATGCCAAAAAGAACCAACGGAAGCGCTTCGAGCCCATTATCGCAATGGTGATCCACGGAGAAAGCTTTCAAATGTCGGTGAAAAAATTCTACTATTTCTTTGCTCTTCTTTTCTTTTATTTTCCTACCGTTCCTATTTTCTTATTCTCTAATGTGATGCAAGAATCAGAAAATTATTTTTTAAAACGTTGAAAATTGTGAAGAACTTATTTAAAAATACTAATGTAAGTGAAGAAGATCTGGACATTGACGTACAGGCAAACCCCGGTATTCGCGGGGGTTTGGTTCCAAAAAAAATACCGCAAATACGGAAGCATTTTTCTTATGGGAAAAGGGGGGTTCGGTTCCTCGTCCGACTGAAATGTCAATGTACATGTTAGTAAAAAACTTTTTTATCAGCAAAAATTGAAGTTTTAATCAATATTTATTTATTTTGTAGTAAAATATCGAGTCAAACTTTTTTGTTTTTCTCTGTGAATTCGATCTTCGTACAACTCATAATACTCTAATGATTTTTCGACATCTTATCTCAACTGAAGGCCTCGAGTCATGATTGGGTCGTAATTTAATGCTCGTTCAATAAGACGCTCAGCATCAGCCGAAATATTTCCGAATAGGCAATGAGCATCTAAAATTGAACTTTTTTTCACCAAATTCATCACTTTATTATTCCTCTTCTTTACACTGGTAACCGGTTCTCTTTCCATAGGACGAATCATAATTAAAAAAAAATTGAAAATTTTTTTTAATTCATGCATGAAACAAGGTAAACTTTGAGCGAAAAAACCTCTAATACGAAAACAAAATACCACGAATACTGAAATTAGGTCACAAGCAGGAGTACCGTGGATACGGAAAATCGCGAATACGGAATCCGCGAATGACGGGGTTTGCCTGTATTTTACTATCACAAAAAATGTACACTATTTCGATTTATATAGTTATTTTTGAATTTAAGCTTTTAACACAGGTTGGTCCCATTAACTCCAAGTAATCAGCTAAAAATCATTCGGTAGTCTTCGCTTCCAGTAAACCTGTGATGCATTTAGGCTTGCCTATGGTTGATACGTCTTTCAATTTGCCTTCCTCATAATATCAATTACTGACAAGGAGAGCTTTTCAGCTCCGGGTCACAGATCTTTACCAAAGTTGCTTGGGGGTCTTCTGGTACATAATAATGACGCTCTGTATGGCCATTTTAGTCTCATTGGCCCTGAAAAATATTATAGAGCATAATGAAGTTATTAATACTGAATATTGTTAAAAAATACTAAATATTAGCTCATCATGGTATCAAACTTACACAGTCAAGTCAAACTGGTTAAAAAGTATTTGTACTTTTACTTTTCCATGTTTTGAATATCTTATCAATCAATAAAAACTTTAGCTCCATTGGATTACTGTGAGAGTTTTAATGAGTAAACCAATTGAAGCTAAAAATAACACTTTTATGATTAAATATTTTCAAAAATCATGTGAAATTTTTTTTTATAAGGCATTCCTCCTTTCTCTTCTGGAAATATGTAAATTGATTGTGCCAACAGTGTAATGCGCTAGAAAGAGAAAATTTATCATGTGATGTTAGTGAGTTTAAGAAAAAAATCAGCTGGATTGATATTATGATTGCCAAGATAGAAGTTTAATTGATTGTTTCAGCGTCATATGTCTTGTACCTTGATAAAAGACATCCAGCATCGCTAATTAGGTAATGTGGCATTTAACATGCATGTAAATACACTTCAATTGAGTGTCTGAAATGAGTGAGAAAGGAGGGATTATAAGTTTTATATATAAAAAAAATTTTCACATGATTTTTAAAAATATTTAATCATAAAAGTGTTATTTTTAGCTTTAATTAGTTTACTCATTAAAACTCTCACAGTAAACCAATGGAGCTAAAGTTTTTATTGATTGATAAGGTATTCAAAACATGGAAAAGTAAAAGTTCAAATACTTTTTAGCCAGTTTGACTTGACTGTGTAAGCCTGATACCATGATGCGCTAATATATGGTATTTTTAACAATATTTAATATTAATAACTTCATTATGCTCTATAATATTTCTCAGGGTCTATGAGATCAAACTGACCATAAAGGGTTTTATTATTATATACCAGAAGACCCCCCAAGCAAGTTTGGTAAACATCTGCGACCCGGAGCTGAAGAGCTCTCCTTGTGAGTATTGTAAAATTTACATCATACTTTAGTGGTAAAATTTGCGACGGCATTGATGATTTGACAGTCTTGCTACTTTCAGCACAGTCAGTTGAACTGGTACTAATTCTGCACAAACCAACCTAAACTAAGAATGTGCAAATAATCGATTTTTCGTGTTTTACATGACCAGTCGAGTTCAAGTTAAATGCAAATTTTGGGATATTTAAGGGGACTCACACATCAGAAGTAGTGATTTTTTCATAAAAAAAATCGTTTATCGAGATCTTATTCTCTACAGCCAGATAAAGATCACTTATTATTTTACTATGAAACTCACAAAACATAAGATTATTTGATTCTAAGCTAATATTGAAATCATTTATTTTTCAAATACGATATTTAAATTACTTATTTAACTTTAGAGAATATTGTAATATTGTAATATTCTGTCTCCGCTGAATTGATAAATATTTGTTACATTTTCATAAAATATATAAAAACGTGTTAAAAAGATTATATTTTTTTTTCAGTAAACAACAAGTCGGGCTGCAGAAATATTTCAAAAGGAGAAATCAACTGGTTGATGGAAAATAGATCGTTTACTTGAATGCATTGTCTTTTCGCCCACTGGTTGACGATCCTTGCTTTCACGTACGTACGCGGCCTCCACGGTACCAATTTATCTACGAGTGAGCACTCAAACTCAGAACCTGTGCCTTCCCTCGGACAATAAAATAGGCCCTTATAAAACAGATATAAACAGTAAATTATAATATAAATTCAACAACTCTGTACTTTACATATATCAGTAATTCTTCTATAATTTTAAAATAAAAAAAATTTTTAACTTGCAAAAAAAGTAAATATTTTCTTGTATTTTCTTATGGGGTTAAGATTGTATTTCGATCGAGCTGATATTTTAAAATGGACATACCTACACCTGATTGCCCAAGAAACTTCTGCCCGAGCTCTAAAATCCTCATTTCATTATTTTTTCATAATATTGAATATTGTGTTATAGATCACTTGCTGCATGATCTTGAAGCAAGTTTTTGATAAGTTTTCTTCATAGGCACTCAAAATTTTTAATAAGTACCCTTTTCCACTGAAATGGAACAGAATTTGTAAAAATTGTATACAATTTAATTTACACATCAAAATACTACAAAAGGAAAACTCAGCATGAAATTTTAAATAAAAAAGTTGTGACGGGGGTCACAGTCATCGCCTACGGATAGGCAATCCTTACGCACACCACACGTGAAAAGCGTAATGAAAATGAGCCAAGCGCCGCTTGTTTACATATTATATAAATAAACAAAAAGAGTGCGCTGCTATTATAACAGCGCAGCATATAACAATAATATGTAAACAAGCCACTAGGTGGCGGACTTACAAAAACTTGTAACCCACAAATGAACCGTGGCTGAAAATGCTTATTATCCGAGTCGAAATAAAGCTCCGGCATGTTCCGGGTTAAACACAAATACCTAATTTTCATTGATTGAGAAATGGATTAGCCTTTCTACCTGAGTAGTAAGTTCATTGCTTACTATTCAAACAGACGGCTAAAGAGAAAAGATACCTGAGAGCTTGAACGATCTACAGAAGGTAGCGATCGAAAGCCACTTCTACCAGACGGTCAAACTCTCAGACCTTCGTTGATGTTCTCAATTATGCACTGCGTGATTTTGGATGCGTTTTGGATGCGTTTGTGGTGGTTGATAATCTGTATTATCCACTACGTTATTTTGGATGCTGCACTGTACTGTTTGTGGTGATTGGTATTATAAATTATGCACTGCGTTATTTTGGATAATAAACTGTATTGTCTGTGGTGGTTGATAATCTGTATTATGCACTACGTTATTTTGGATGCTGCGATGCACTGTCTGTGGTGTTTGGTATTCTGCATGCTCTACATCCCTTTGCATCGTTTCCTTCAGCCATTCTCCTACTAGTTCGATTTCTGATTCTTGCGCTGTTGTGTTCTGTATATTGTTCTGCTGTCTATATTGTAGTTGGTGTTCCGATAATGCAGCATCTATAGACGATAACATTTCATAGTCATAGTCTGCTATATTTTCCAATGTTGAATTATTTGCAACTTCCAGTAAATAGGCCTCTGCGAATTCTCTTGATGATGCATCATTGGCATCTGGTATTCGAAGATTATCGGGACACGGAATTGAATTAACGGAGTTCATTTTCACGTTTTTTTAATTAAAATCAAAAACTACAAAATTTAAAAAATTGAACTCTAAAAGTGCCCTGACTGTAATTACGATTATTATTCACGTCACTTTGATGCTTTCCAGACGAGCGTCTTCGAACAACTGATATTTTTCACAGCCTAAGAAGAAGAAGAAGAAGAAGAAGAAGAAGCATTTTAGAGATGACTTTTTTCGCATGACTGACTATATCATCATCCAAAATCACGCAGTGCATAATTCAGAATATCAACGAAAGTCTGAGAGTTTGACCGTCTGGTAGAAGTGGCTTTCGATCGCTACCTTCTGTAGATCGTTCAAGCTCTCAGGTATCTTTTCTCCTTAGCCGTCTGTTTGAATAGTAAGCAATGAACTTACTACTCAGGTAGAAAGGCTAATCCGTTTCTCAATCAATGAAAATCAGGTATTTGTGTTTAACCCGGAACATCCCGGAGCTTTATTTCGACTCGGATAATAAGCATTTTCAGCCACGGTTCATTTGTGGGTTACAAGTTTTTGCAAGTCCGCCACCTAGTGGCTTGTTTACATATTATATAAATAAACATAGAGTGCGCTGCTGTTATAACAGCGCAGCATATAACAATATAATGGGAGCATTCGATAACATAAACATTGATATTCTTCTTCAAAAACTTGCTCAAATCAGTTGTTCAACCGCAACCATTAAGTTCATCCACTTTCTTACGCATAAACGAATGATTTTCACTAATTTCCTAGACGAAAACTCATATAGGCTGATATATAAAGGTGTTTCACAAGGCAGGGTATTAAGCCCACTATTGTATATAATCTACGTTTTTGAAATTACTAAAGGACTGCAAAAAAGCGTTTCAATCTCTCAGTTTGCTGATGATCTATGTGTATACATCAAATGCTCAAATACATCCAGAGGAAGGAGTATACTACAGTGAGCCATTATGAAACTTAAAAATAACTTATTAAAAATTGGACCAGATCTCTCAGAAATAAAAACTATCTTGGGTCACTTTAATACGAAAAACATCCTACCAGACTCCACTGAAATCAAAATAGACAACTGCTTCATGAAATCCAGTGAGAGTTTTAAATTTCTAGGCTTACACTTCGATTAAAAAATGGTATTTGACATAAATTTAAATTTCGTTAAAAAAAAATGCTATAGAGCCATGAACATTCCTCGATTTCTTCGCAAGACCTGGTGGGGCTCTAGCCCAATAACACTTATTATACTTTACAAAAGTTTCTTCAGATCAATCATTGATTATGGACTTCCTATATACTTTCCTTCCCGAAAACTCGTGATTAAAAAACTCGAAAGAGTTCAAAATTTAGCTATAAGAACTGCCCTAGGATACCGAATTAGTGCACTCTTAAACATTCTGCTAGATGCGTCGAAACTTATCAGCTTAGAGAACCACGCAACATTCCTCTCCCATTTCTTTCTAGCCAAACGATGTCCCTTCAAAGTTCACAAACACATATAAATGTAACAAAATCCTACAATATATTGAAAAAAACACTCCACTCCCAAAAATAGTCTTGCCAAAAGCATAAGCAAATTCTTGAAATACACCTCACGCATAGAAATTCAGAATAATGAAAATATGTACACTAAAACCTATGAAAACATTGTCAATTTCATTCCATACGACTCTACGTTCGGTCATGCTCTCAAAGACGCCCCCAATCCTAGTCACGAAATTAATTATCTAGTAAAAAAATAATGCTATCTCCTTCTACACTGATGGCAGCAAAATAGCAAGCACAAAATGCGTAGGAAGCGCAATATTCTGTCCAGAACTGGAAATTCACGAAACGCTCTCCATCGAAAAAGAAGCTTCTATGTACATAGCCGAGTGTATGGCAATACATAGAGCTGTGGAATTAGCCTCAAATTACCCTGAACGAAACATTTATATTTTTTCCGACAGTCTCAGCACACTCCAAACCTTAGCATCCACCAAATTCAACCTTAAACCTTAACGGTTGCCTGCCGAAGCACGGCCAACACCTTGGTTTTCCTCAAGGGGAATCTCGTACATAATAGCTTTATGATCGCTGCTTGTATAGACATCACTTACCCGCCAAGATCCAACTCGATTGTAGAGCGAAACACTGGCGAAGGTAAGGTCAATTACAGATTCTCCCCGTTTTGCAACAAACGTCGGCTCGGAACCGGTGTTCAGCAGGAGGACATCCAAGGTTGCGAGGGCATTTAGCAGCGCCCTGCCCCTCGGCTTCGTCTCCCTACTGCCCCACTCCGTTGCCCAAGCATTGAAGTCGCCAGCCACGAGGACTGGTGATTCTCCTCTGACCTCGTCAACAATGTTGTTCAACAGGCCGATGAATTCCTCTGGGGAGAGTCCAGGAGGCGTATAGATACTGAAGATATAAATTCCAGCAATCTGCGCCCAGGTGTTTTTTTTTTTTTTTTTATGGAGAGGGCGTGGGCGGGGTAAACCCTTGCACCAGTGGCCCTTCCGAACTCCGGCATGATTCCCACTTGAACCATCGTTAGACATTACTTCGGTGGGTGCCTTTTAGCAGTGCTGCTGCATCAATGTATTTGGTCATTTCCCTACATCCCCCATCCACCGCACGCCAAGGCGCGGTGATCAGGGGTTCAGGAACCGTGTCAACTCGTTAGTGATCCCCCGCTCACCCTGCGAAGCCCTCATCCAGCGTCATTCCCGCCTTCCGGAGCCGTCTTTGTCGGTGCTCTCCTTTGTGCTGATGTTTCTTCTTCGGTACGTTCGTCAGAACTTCGCCGTGAGCCGGACTAGTGCCGTCCTTGTGAGAGAGGACCCGGTCCCACGCCCGACACCGTCCAGCATCTCCGCTTCTTGCGAGCACCTCTCGCTTTTTCTGGCTTCCTCCATGATGAGTGTAAACTCCTCTCGGTCAGCGCCAGCACTAGAAGTTCTGATATCGGGCTCTATCCCTAAGGATTCGAACTTGGAGCCGAAAGGTCGGTGCTCTTCCTTGTGTCGGCGCTTTGCCTCCTGAATGATGCGCTCCGTTGGCCAACATCAGCACTAGGAGTTCTGGCTTTTGGGCTCCAGCTTGCGGAAATTCTTCTTAACTTGGGCCGCAGGGTGATTGGGGGATATTTCACCCTCCAGGAGGCTGCCTACAGCCGCGGACCTACAGTTTATAGTGAAATCCGAACCACTTCGGCCTCGGGCTCGACCTCACCGAGCGAAAAATCACGAATGAAATTTCCCTCAGTGGGGATCGAACCCGCTCCCTCAGCACAGCGTTGGTTTAGCAGATAGATGGCCCAACGCCTTTACCCACTAGACCAACGAAGGCTGTGCGAGCCCAGGTGTGTGTGTGTTTTTTTTTTTTTTTGGACGTGGGCAGAATGAACTCTGCAGCCAGTGGCCTTTCAAAACGAGTACCCCACTGGAAACCGTCATTAAACATTACTTCGGTGGGGACTCTGTAGAGCTTCTCTGCTACATCGGTGTCTTTTCCGTACATCCCCCGTCCACCTTGCAGTGATTAGGGGTTCGGGAACCAGAAGCGTCGTTTTCGTATTTTTCTTACAGCATCGTCCGGATTGTTTTATTTACACCTCTCGCCCTCCTTGTCTCAATTTAGTGACGACTGATTGCGCAAAGGATGCTACCGCCAG